AACAAGAGTAAGGTTATTATGCAGATTTAAGTCCTTGCCTTCTGCATTGATAAGAGTTTCCACAGATAAGGTCATCCCCCCTTCTTCCTGGTACAGAGAGGGAGATATCTTTACAAATGGAGATTTCCCTTACAAATGTAAATGTATCTTACAAAGGATAAATTCTACTTTTCAGAGCTTCTCGCATGTCTGCAGTTCTTAAAAGTAACCAACCCAAAATATTCCTCATGCCAAAGAGAGACACTTTGGGGTGGCCAATACTGATCCCCCACAGTGTCTCATGAGTACCCAGCATTGCGAACAATTATATGCTAAGTAGCATTAATACAAGCAGGGGGGCCAGCCACATTGCTTAGCCGTTAAGTGCGTGCGCTTCGCTACTGGCGGCCCGGGTTGGGATCCCGGGCGTGCACCGACGCACCGCTTCTCCTGCCATGCTGAGGCCGCGTCCCACATACAGCAACTAGAAGGATGTGCAACTATGACATACAACTATCCACTGGGGCTTTGGGGAAAAAAAAAAGGAGGAGGACTGGCAATAGATGTTAGCTCAGAGCCAGTCTTCCTCAGCAAAAAGAGGAGGATTAGCATGGATGTTAGCTCAGGGCTGATCTTCCCCACAAAAAATAAATAAATAAAAATACAAGCAGGGAGCTGTGGGCAGGAGTGCAGGGCTCACTGAGCTGGTCCCTCACCCAGGAGCAAGGCCTTGATCCCGTGGCCAGAGCACAGCGCCTTGTCTGCCCTCTAGAACATCCCCAAGAGGGTAAGGGCTGGCAGAAGGAGGCTGGTTGCTTGGGGGTCCACAAAGAAAAGTACCACGGACTGTGATGTTTTTTCTTGCTTCTTTGTGTATCTTGTAATTCTTAGTTGAAGGTCACGTATCTCATGTGGGACAATAGAGACTGAGGTAAATCGTACTTATGTGTGGAAATGGGCATGCCTCTCCTTTTGTGAGGCCTTCAGAGGGCCAGGGTTTGGGTGGACCTGTCAGGGACTGAGCTGGTTCGGATTCTGCAGTTAGGATTACCCTCAGTGTACGCAGGCTTCATGTTCCGCCAGCATCACCTTGTGCTTGTTTGCCAGTGGGCTCTTCTCTGCCCTAGGTCTGCCCTTTGCAGCTGCTCCTCGGAGAGGGTCTCTCCATGCTCTGCCCTGCCCGGCAGTAGACTGCTGTCCTCTGTGGCTTTGCGCTGGCCAGCCTGGAGGCATGGTGGGAGGGTTCTCTCAGGTCCCGGTTCATCCTAGTCTTAGGTAGCTCCTGGGTCGTGGGTCTGGGACCTTGGAGCAGGCCCTTTCCAGTGGTCCTGCCTCACCTGCAACACTAGGGGGCTCTAATGATCTGGGCCCAAGGCGTTTTCCTCCACCTTCCCCAAGGGTAAAGGTTTTTTTTTCTATTCCCTTCTTAGAGAGTGACAGGGTTTGCTGCCCTTCCCCCAGCTGCTTAAGGCTTGTTCTGTGAGAAAGTTGGGGGACAGAAATCCAGAAGGGGCTTAGTGCTTTTCCCACAGTGGCTGCTGTGCTCTGCCCTCAAGCCTCCACCATGAGAGAGGCTGTCCCGCCTCCTGTCCTGTCCCGGGTCTTTCTCCGTGAGCACCTAGCGAGGGCCCTGGAGAAGTGAACAGAAGCAACTACTCCCAGAGTTTCTGTACTCGCACACTAGTTCACACCTGGGCTTTAAGAATTCGTTAAAACTGTTAACTGAATTCTTGTTACTGGCTTATATGGCATCTGCATCTGTTCAGGCAAGCAAGTGCTCAAGTCTCCTCTCCTAGGAAGGGCCTGTTTTCCTTAGATTTCAGGCTGAGGTTATCTGAAACTCAGCTCTCTGATGGGTTCCAGAAAGGTGATGTTTTTGTATAATATCTTCTTGTAAGTGTGGGAGCAATGGTCTTTCCAACTTGTTCCGTCCTAAGCAGAAACTCAAAACTTCTCCTTGAAATTGTACTTCCATTCTATTTGACCTCTCCCAGAATTTTATCCTAATGTAATATATTTTTATTGTTAATACACAGTTGTTTAAAACAATATAAATATATTCTAGATTTTTAATATAATTATTAAATATAAAACGAGAACATGAGTGGCAATACCCCCCTTACTAAGCTGTGTGCTGAGTTGTGGCACCTTGTTTGAAGGCAGCTTCCTTATTCCAGTGCCTCTCCTTGTCCCTTAGTTGGGAGTTCCAGTGGTTTTTCCACCCAGGATGACACACCAAGAAGGATTTAGAATGGGCAAGAACAGGCCCTCATCTCATAAAAGAGACAGGGAAGGTGGGGGAGGAGAACCTGACCTCGGCCGCTTCCTCAGGCAGGGAAGGCTTCGCAAGGCGCACGGGGAAGTGGTGGATCTGGAATGTGGTTCCATTCAGAGCCGCTGTGCCCTTGGACAACCCGGGGAAATCTCCATGTAACCCCAGTGCACGTCGAGCTTGAAGACCACTAAACCCCACTAAACCCCATCTTCCCTAAGGGTCCTTGCCATCCCATCATCCAGCTATTCTGCTGGAAAGTGTGAATACGGAGCACACGGCCAAGCTGCCATCCAGGTGTTTTTATTTTTTTGTGAGGAGATCTGTCCTGTGCTAACATCCATGCCAATCCTCCTCTTTTTTTGCTGAGGAAGACTGGCCCTGGGCTAACATCTGTGCCCATCTTCCTCCACTTTATATGGGACGCTGCCACAGCATGGCCTGACAAGCAGTGCGTTGGTGCGCGCCCAGGATCCGAACCCGGGCCGCCGGCAGCGGAGCGCGCGCACTTAACCGCTACGCCACAGGGCCGGCCGCTTGATCCAGGTTTTATTAAAGAACTGGTGAAGAGCCTGCAGGGCGAAGCCAGGAAGGGCTGCAGGTTGCTCTGTCCTTGTGTGCACATGGTGGGAGAAGGGCTATGCTGGCACTGAGGCCCTCCTCTTGCCCACGGTTGGAGAGCACGGACCAGATGCTAACGAAGAGATTCAGGTGTTCCCTGAGTGATTTTTTAAAAGACCCCATGAGAGGAAAACAAATGGCTTTCTGTCTTCTTAGATCGTGATGCTCAGGAACGACGTTCACCGCTGCAGGGCAGCAGGCATCTTCCTTCGCTTGGAGGGCGGAGGCCTGATCGCCGGCAACAACATCTACCACAATGCGGAGGCTGGCGTGGACATCCGGAAGAAGGCCAACCCACTCATACTGGTACTGCTCTCCGTCCTCGTGCCCTGTCCAGGGTGGCTCTTGGTTCTCAGAAACCTTGTCAGAGGACATTTAAATAAACGTTGCCTTCTTGAAGTTATATTGCTTCCTGCTTGCGAGTGGTTCCTGCCCCTTTCTCCGTGTGTCCTTGTGACTCGGGTCTCTTCCTCCTCGGTGTGTTAGGAGTGAGTTTGGGTGCGTCGCTTCCCTGCAGTCTCCCGGTCAGTAAGACAGAGGACCAGATAGACAGGGCCCTCCCTCAGCCCTGCCCTGCGCTCTGGTTGACTCGGGGTTTGATTAGAATAAAAGATACAATGTCTGCCGTAAAAGACACTTGGATCCAAAACAAAGCAAACATCAAGTCAGTTTGTTTTTTCCTATGAGAAGGGCATCTGGCGTATTTAGTTCTGATGATTGTTTCATGGGTATTGTGAGGCCATGGTGAGTTTGATTTTACACCAGCAGGAAAGCCACTTAAAATCCTAGAATATGAGAGCAGTGACATGAGAGACCAGCCCCTTTTTCCACTCTGGCCTTTCCTGCGAGACAGACTTCCTAGAAATTGGGAAACGCGATGGACTTTTTATGGGCCTGGAAAAATAATATCTACCCATATGCATAGTTCCTATTATATGCCAGATACTGTTCTAAGCACTTTGTATCTACTTATTTAATTATGGTGTAATCTTTATACAACCCTGTGGGGTAGAACTATTATCCCCATTTTATGGATGAAGACAGTCAAGGATCTTGCCCCAAATCACACAACTAGTGACAGAGCTGGGATTGGAATCGAGGCAGTCTGGCTCAGGGTCAATGTTCTTAACCCGTCATATCCAGATTGCCCTTGCAAATGCAGAAAGGAAAGTTCCTAACTATATTTAAAAAGACACACCTAGCCAGTCTCCTCTTTCAACCCCTCCTCTCACTGTGTTTCTGCCATGCAGCTGGTGTTTGCATGGGGCCTTGGCTTAGGAAATTACTGCCACTGTTGCCAGAGAGATGAGAGGAGTTTGCCTTCCCAGGGACAGATGGGGACAGGCCAGTTTAGCAGCTGGAGGGGGGAGGGGTATTACATGTCAGTCCTGGCTTTGTGAACAGGTTTGGGGATGGAAATGCCGTTGCATGCACCTCTCTCTCCAAGCTTTTCAACCCTGTGAAGGACTTCTGTTAGGCAGTGGTTGCCCCGGTGAGTCGGCTAAATCCTTCAGGAGAAAATCTGGAAAGTAAATAAGAATAAGAGAGTTTGCAGCGTGGAACAGTTTAAAGCAAACTAGACCTTTGTTTCGGTGAAATCATTTTGGAAGAGAAACAGCTACCTTCCTGGTTTAAGTATGGGATTGTATTTGGGCTGTAAATTAACAATCAGAGTGAAAAAACTGTATTATAATTTATTATAATCTAAAAATGCTGTCACTGTGCAAAAGCAACTAACTGGGAAACAGAAAAACTTGGATTCAGATCTGGCTCTGCTGCAAATGTACTATATGACCCTGGGCCTCTTTCCCCATTTATACAAAGTATTAGAATGAATATCCCTAAGGGTGCTTATAGCTCGTACACCTTCTATGACCTCATGCCCCATGGGACCTAGAACTAAGCTCCCGAGAGCTGCATCTGTTCACAGGCCTCCCCCGGATGAGAAGTAAGGACTAGGAGCCAGATGGCTCCCACCCTTCCCTGGAGGTGGGCCCCTTGGGACTACATTATGCCAACATTCTTGTGTACTGGGGTGCTGCCCTTCCCTGAGAGGTGGGCTCCCTGGACCCTGGGCGGTGTGGCCTGGCCGGATGATTGTGTGTTTGGGGGGCTCTTAGGAGGCTCAGAAACTTTCAGTAGCATGCCTTGCAGCTGAAGAGCAAGAGCCCTCAGCAGTAGGTGCCAGCATAACTGCAGCCCAGGAGGCTAGGCGGGGAAGACCCCTGTCCTCAGGTTCTCCCTTACAGGCTTCCGTGTGTACCTGTGCAGGAAGGGCAGGGCGGCGGCAGGGTCCATCACTGTGTCACGTGCTAGGGATTGTCCAGTGCTGGCGCTTTCTCCGCTGTTCACCCCGGCCCTGCTGTGGGCAGCAGTTGAGCACCCTGCTCCTCGCTGGGCTGTCTGATCTGTCTTCTGTGCTGTCTCATGTCCACCTGCAGTGTAACCAGATCCACCATGGCCTTCGCTCTGGCATTGTCGTCCTTGGCAATGGGAAAGGCATCATCCGGAACAATCAAATCTTTTCAAATAAGGAGGCTGGCATTTATATCCTGTACCACGGAAATCCAGTCGTGAGGTATGTACCACTGTACCCAGACCATCCTGCTCACCGTGGTCCCTTCTTTCCTCTCTGGTCTCTCTGTTTCCCTACTCCTTCTTTCTTCCATTTGAAAACATTTTTGTTTACTGAAACTACTGTACAGATGCAAACAAAGAAGAGACTCCTCCCCCAATACCAGCACAGTAGCACCACTGCTTTTGTGTCTGTGTTCCCTCCTGTCTAGTTAACTTTGAAGCCATCCCATTCAGCAAACATTACTGAGCACTTCTAATAACAATAACAAAGGTAAACAAGGGGCAGACTCTGCTCCCTAGGAGCTCACTCCGGTCTGGGGGACAGATGTGCTCAGAAATAACTCTAAGGTAGAGAAGGCATAGAGATTTCAACTCACCTGACAACTCTGGTCAGTTGATGGTGGCTACCTGGGATGCTGTGTTAGGATCTGGAGGCTACGTCTGGCCTCCACATGGAAGCATGCCGTGACTAATCAGTGGTGAAGCCATAGGTGGGAGGGGCAGGGGCACTCCTGGGACCATGGGTCTGCCCTCCCAGCTATCGTATGGGGCAGACTGTGGTAAATGCTATTGAAGTGGTACCAAGAGAGGGAGGGAATCATCCTGACTTGGGGATGTGGGCAGGCCTCCTTTAGGTGGTGGCACTGGAGTTGGACTTTGAAATACGGTACAACTTGGACTCTCTTGGAGATGGGAAGTGACATTCCTAGTAAAGGAAATGACATGAGCAAAGGCAGCAGAGCAGGGAAGAGTCAGGGGTTAGTGAACAGCCCACTGTGGCCTGAGAAAAAGGCCAATGCAAGGTGTGACATTGGTATAAAAGGTTTTCAATTGGGACTGTCCCAGAAAACTTGGGTCCTGTGGTCACTGCAGCATGACCTTTTATATCCCTGTGGCAGCCCCTCTCTGCCATGCAGCATAGTGGGAAGGGATGATGGAAAGAAAGCCTTGGGCCAGATGAGGAAGGCCTTATGTAGACCAAGCCGAGGAAGTGGAGTTTATTCTGTCTGGATAATGGGGAAGCATTAAAGGCTTTTGAACAGAAGACTCACACAGTTATGCCTGTGTTTTAGGAGAATAACTGACAATAACTGTGTAGCAAATACATTCTGAGGCTTTTCCCCTGCGTTATTCCATACATACTTTTCCGTGTTGTTCCACAGCCTTTATATTTATCTCTTAGGAAAGTTTCAGAACATTCCATTATTTTATATTCCATAATTTTTGAACCAGTCCTATCACTGTTAGGCAACTATTTTTTCACTGTTACAGACAGTGTCCTAAAAACAATTAGTGGTCATAGCACTCTTGTTCCATCTTTTGCATTATTGTCTTAAAATAAGAGGATGTGTTTGTATGTATGCGTGTTATTCACTGAACATACATTTAAGTGTTTACTCTGTGTAAGGGGAAGTGATATAAAGTGTGTTAAGAACAGTCTCTGCTTCATGGAGTTTACAGTCTCATGCTGGAGATAGATACACACACAATAACCATGAGGGAAGACTCTCCAAAATGAGCGCCTTACTAGGTCTTCACACAGGTGCCAAAGGAGCCCAGCCAGGATTCCAGCTGAGTGAGTCAGGGATGGGCACATAGGGAGCTGACATTCGAGTTGTGCTTGAAGGGTAAATATGATTTTATGGCCAGGAAAAAGGCTTTCTGGGTCCAGCAGTGAAATTCAGGCTATGTCCTGGGAAAATGGTAAAAAATGTGGTATGTCTGGGCACGAGATACCCAGGGAGGGTTGGGTAGGAGATCACCCTACAAAGGCAGGTTGATGCTGGAGCACAGAAGATCTCGAATGCCAAGTGTGGCAGGTAGAATAATGGCCCTCCAAATATATCCATGTCCTCATCCTTGGAACCTATGAATATGTTACCTTACATAGCAAAAGAGACTTTGCAGACGTGATCAAGTTGAGGACCCTGAGATGGGGAGATGATCCTGGATTATGTAGGTGGGCCCAGTGTAAGCACAGGGGTCCTTAGAAGAGGGAACCAAGGAGGCCAGCCTGGTGGCACAGCAGTTAAGTGCACGCACTCCGCTTCAGCTGTCCAGGGTTCACAGGTTCGGATCCTGGGCGCGCACCATCACACTGCTTGTCAGGTCATGCTGTGGCGGCATCCCATATAAAGTAGAGGAAGATGGGCACAGATGTTAGCCCAGGGCCAGTCTTCCTCAGCAAAAAAGAGGAGGATTGGCATCGGATGTCAGCTCAGGGCTAATCTTCCTCACAAAAAAAAAAAAAAAAAAAAGAAGAGGGAAGCAGGAGGGTCGGCGTCAGAGAGAAGGAGACGCGACAGCCATAAGACCCATTTTGTACTTCTGACCTCCTAAACTAGGAGATTATAAATTTGTGTTGTTTTAAGCCACTAAGTTTGTGGTCATTTGTTCCAGCAGCCATACACCAAGCCAAGATGTTTGGAGTTTACCTTCTGGGTGGTGGGGAACTGCTGAAGGGTTTTGAACAAGGAATATTACAATCAGATCAGTGTCTTGGGTTTTTAAAACATAGTTGCTTTGAGAGAAGAGGTTGTGCTTTTTTCCTTTGTGTGTCTTTGTGGTGGAAGATAGGGACCTGGGCAAGGCTACAGAATGAATTTTGAGATCCCTGAAGTGGCCTGGATAAATCAAACCACAGCATATTTTTGTTGCCAGTGAGAGTTCTATAAACCTATCATATTTCTCTTTGTGCCTTGGCTGCAGCGAAGCCCAGGGCTCCAACTGGCTCATCTGCAGTAAATATCCCACCGTTGGTTCTTGGAACAATGATCTGTCCCCTTTTCCTAAATGTCTTCTGATGCCTCTTTTATCTCTATTCTGCCTGCCCTATGTACACACACATACATGTTTCTCCAAATGGCCATGGATCCTTTCTGGAGGTAAGTGACATCTGTATTAACAATATATCAGTCGTTAGGGGCCGGCCCGGTGGCGTAGTGGTTAAGTTCGCGTGCTCCACTTCAGCAGCGTGGGGTTCATGGGTTCAGATCCCGGGTGCGGACCTACACGCTGCTCATCAAGCCATGCTGTCGCGGCGTCCCACATACAAAATAGAGGAAGATGGGAACAGATGTTAGCTAAGGACAGATCTTCCTCAGGCAAAAAGAGGAAGATGGGCACAGATGTTAGCTCAGGGCCAATCTTCCTCACACACAAATATATGTATATATCTATACCAGTCGTGCATTTGCTGCTGTCGCGCAGCTCTCAGAAATCTGGATGAGGCACACCCTCGGCCAGGGACTGTGTCTGACTGTGAATTCTAGAACCCACAGGAAGCATCAGCTGATTGAACTGTCACCAGATCAAAGCAGACTTCAGATCTATCTGAGGAAAAAAACAGATGTTTTTAACAGATAATTTCACTTGTTCAACACGAAAATGCATAGTGTAGATGTACTTGACATCTGGCTTTCCCAGCGCCAACATAATTTGCTGGTTTTTCCCCAAGGAAGTAAACTATTTGGACCCCACCCTAGGAGATAGGAAGACTTACTCAGCCAACTCCTACCCAGTGATGTTCAGTGAGGTGCCAGGCCATGTTAGGCTCTGAAGGGCCAGATGTGTGTTTGGCCCTAAATCCCTTGCCACCTCCTAAGAGAGGGGCAAGTGCTCTTACTGTAGGGAAGGAGAGCACAGCACTCCTGTCAGTAAACATAACAAACAGCAAACGTGTGTCCTCCAGGGATAACCAAGGCTGCTAACATCTGGGTGTGACTGGTTTTGTTTCTAAAGGCAAGAAACCAAGGTGCAGAGACGGGAAAGAAATGCATGTCCCTTAACACGCTCAGGTGTTGGTTTTGAGGAACTCATTTGCACGGCCCTCACGTGGCAGTAAGGGCTGTGTGTTTCTCTGAGCAGGAGTGTGTTTTCCTGTGTCTTCCATTTGTGCTGAGCCAACCCATGAGGTTTCACATAGCCATCGTCTGATGTTCTTGAAACCCCCTTTTTGAAAATCTCGTTTTCTTCTTTTAAGACGACATTATTTTATGTTGTCATTCAGTGAATAGGTGGTTGAGTTAACAGAAAATAAGGTAAAAAGTAGCCGTTGGATACAAACAGGAGATTTCAGGCCTGTCACAGGCAGAGTCTGATTCAGGCTCTCCCACACATCACTCCCAGACAAGCTTAACACAGCCTCCTAGGAATTCTTGACACCACCAAGGCTTTACCTGTGACCCACGCACCATGATGACATCCATCTAAAATGGTGTTTCCATGCGGATGATGGTCAGGAGAGGCCACAGACACTTGGATATCGTTGTGCTTCTGTGGCATGGTTGTAGGGTTAGTTTTTTGGTCAGTGATATCTGAAGATCGCTACAGGCCTGGCTTCTAGGACTGCAGGAAGCACTTTATGTGTTGTGGACTTGAGCCATCTGGAGAACCCCATAGGAGCAGGCCACCTCAGGTGGGCGTGTCTTTGACACATGACTTTGGTATGGTCTCACCTCTTTGTCTTCTTCTCCTTCCATTTTAGTGGGAACCACATTTTCAAGGGCCGTGCAGCTGGCATAGCAGTGAACGAGAACGGCAAAGGCCTCATCACAGGTAGGGGTGGGAGCCAAGCAACCAGCAGCCAAGCCAACATCCCCGGCTTCACCCCAAGTCCTTCAGCTTGGCAGAGTGGCCTCCCACTCTGAGCAGTGGTTAGCACTCGAGGATGCCAGCGACGTGCACTGGCTGTGCTCATTACGTGGAGGGCCTGGCGGGGAGGGAACGCCTGCCCTTTGCCAGGCTCGGTGCTTACGGGATCACACGGGACGGCTCACGTAACAGTGTCGGAAACGTTTATGCCACACAAACTGTCTGAGTCCCTCCTCTTGGCTTTTGTATGGGCTTATGCCTGCTCTAGAAGTCCATCCTCATTTCCCCTCTGCCTTGCCAACTCCTGCTCATCCTTTGGGTCTCAGCCTAAGTGTCACTTCCTCAGGGGATCCTGCCCTGAACTCCCATTATACACATGCACACGGGCTGTACCCCATAGGCCTGCTCTGCAGGACATTTTACTTAATTGCTTAGTGGTCTGTGTCACGTCAGTGTCCTTTGCTGTAAGGCAGTAAATTCTATAAGGCAGGGATCCAGTCTGTCACGTACCTCAATGTCGCCTCAGTGCAGAGCATAGCCAGACCTGGGACATAAAAGAGATTCAGTAAATATAGGTCCAGTGAATCCCCTGCCTGAATCCAGCCTGCCTTCACTCATCAGACATTTATTGAGCACGTACTGTGTGCAGGAGCTGGGGATACAGCAGTGAACAAAATAGATACCGTCTGGGCTGTCAGGAACTGACATTTTAGGAGGGGAAACAAACATATGTAGGAAAAGTCATATCCGAGGGTCATAAGTGCTCTACAGATAATTCAAGTAACGTGAGAGAGGGCCTGCATGGGTATTTAAGATTGTGTGATCAGGGCAGGCTTTTCTGAGAAGGTGACATGTAAGCCAGAACCTGAATGATGGGAAGGAGCCTAGGAAAAGAACCAGGATTCCACGCAGGGCCGCCTGTGGGAACAGACTTGGCGTGCCTGAGAAGCAGGGTGACTGGACCGTAGTGAGTGAGGGGCGAGGGTTATGAGATGGGGTCACAGCGGCAGGAAGGGGCCTGTCACACAGGGTCCCCTGAGCCGTTGCCCTCCAGTTCCAGGAGGCTGAGAGTCTGCCCTGCCACGTGCTGGGGCAGCAGTGTCCCAGGATCACCCCTTCTGACTTGTGGTTCTTCCGCCCACTCCCAGAGGGGTGGAGGAGGGGGAGAGGAGAGAAGACTGTGGGCAGTCCAGAGCTGAGGCTGAGGAGGACAAGCTAGTGCCTCCCCAGGCTTGTGGGGCGGTGGCTGGATTCTGCCTCAGCCTCCCACAAACAGCCCCCAGGACAGACGTGCACCAAGGCTGGGCAGGGACTCTAAAGCCAGCTTATTCCTAGTCATCAGTCCTCAAGGCCGCGGAGTACGGTGGGTACTGGGGAGATGGGACAGCACACGACAGAAAGACAGACACAAAGCTCACCCTTGGGGAAAGTGGACACCAAACAAGTCCCGGAAAAGCCAAACACCAGGCGAGATTCGGGGTGCTGACTGCTGGCACGGCCTGGGCGCCCTGGTCTGGCCTGTCCTTTGTCTCGGCTGTCCACGTCCTCCTTGCCAGCACTGTTGGTGGCCCTTGGGTCTTGACCCTCTTTTCTGCCGCTCCCCATAGAAAATGTCATCCGTGAGAATCAGTGGGGAGGCGTAGACATCCGCCGCGGAGGCGTCCCCGTCCTCAGGAGCAACCTCATCTGCTTTGGCTATTCAGATGGCGTGGTCGTGGGAGACGAAGGCAGAGGGCTGATAGAGGGCAACACCATCTACGGTGAGGAGCACGACCCGGGGACGGGGCGGGGCGGGGGGGCGGGGTCCAGCCCAGCCTGGGAGGCAGGAAGCCCAGTTCCATCTCCAGCTCGTGTGTCCTGAGAAAGTCGCCGCCTTTCCCTGGGCCTCAAAGACCTCATCTGAGGACAGCATCCGTCTCAGGTCACAGCCACACAGTCCCTCTCATCAATCACCTTGTAATCCAGATTGACCCCGTGGGGTCAGCAAAGCAGAGAGCTTTGTCCTCAGGTAAAATAGCAGAAGGCCGGAGCTGGATCTTGTCTGAGGACAGGGCCATTTAAGCTCTGACACGTGGGCATCCAAGGCAACTTATCCTTTCTTCTCATCCAGAGAACTGAAGATATAATGGGAGAAATAGGATAATCGTAGAAAGAAAACTGTTCTCACTCACTCTGTGACCTTGGGCAAAGCCTTAATCTTTCTGGACTGCATCTCTAATAATAATAATAATAGCTAATATGTATTCGGGCTGGACTCACTGCTAGGCCCTTTATATGCATTATCACATTTAATCCTCATGACTGTCTTCTGAGGTAGATGTAGTTATTAACCCCATTTTAAAGATGAGGAAACTGAGGCACACAGAAGTTTCATAATCTGCTCAAGGTCACACAGCTGGGAAGTGGTAGGGCTGGGATTCCAACTGAGGCTGCCTCTGGCTCTGTGCAGAGAGGGGTTGGCCTGATGAGCTCTGAGGGCCCCTTTGGCACCATCACTGTGGGCTGTGTGCTTCTGATCTGGAGTCTGGCCTTGACAGTTCTCAGAGCACTTTTACACCCAAGGGGACGATCCTGTGGTGAGTGACCTGACTGTTATTATTCCTCCTGTATGAAGGAGAGGCCTGCAGCCAGAGCTGCAAAGTGATTGTCCAAGGCCATTAGCAGTCCAAGGCTCTCCCAGGCCAAAGCCTTTGTCGCTTCCCTCCTGGGGAGACGCTGGCTGCCACCTTAGCTGTCACTCAGTGTCAGTGACCATCTCCTTTCACTGTCCAGCTAATAAGGGCTGTGGCGTGTGGATGATGTCGTCCAGCCTGCCCCACGTCACCAGCAACCACATCAGCTACAATGGCCTGTACGGAGTGGCAGTGTTTAGCCAGAAGGAAGGTTCCGGTGAGTTCCCTGGAGGCCACGGGGTCCAGGAGAACTTTAGCGAGGACGGGGACGCCATCCTCTGGGAGACAGAGCTGGAGAAGGACGACGACCCGCTGCGCCGGCCCGTCACCACAGCTCTGGTCGAGTCGAACAGCATTAATCACAATGGAGGTGAGTACCCCCCCAGCCCCTGCGCCGGAGCCTTCTGCGCTCTCACTGCCTTAAGGGCCCTTCGCCGACTGGCCCTTCCAGCCTCATCAGCCATTAACCCGATACCCCAGCCCCCTGGGCTTCATGTTCCCTGAACTCGAATCCATTCTTTCCTGCCACCACCCCCGACTTTGCCCATGCTCTTTGTCTTGCCTGAAATGCCCTTTCTCCCAACCCTACATCCCAAACGACTCGCTCTTGTGGGTGGAGGTCACCACTGGGGCGTCCTTCTCCCCTCCCTGCCCCCCTGCCCCGGTCCACCTGCCAGGCCATCTCTTCCTGACCAAGTCATGTGGCTCTGAGCCTCCCGATTTTGTGCTTTTTTCTACAAACGCATAGTGTCTCTCAACATATACAACCTCAAACACCATTTTCTTTTCAAAATTTCTAACACATTTTAGACACATATTACTTAAGCTTAATAAATTTCTCTACTCAAAAATTAGAGAATTTCCCTTAAGAAAATTTCCCAAAATGGTAGGGAGGTAGATTTCAGCTCAGTATGGGAAGGACAACAAAACAACTTTCCAGCAGGTAGATCTGTCTGTCTAGAGGTGGAATGGGCAGCCTTGGGCAGGTAGTGAGCTCCCCATCACAGGCAGTGCAAATGTCAGTAGGATGATGATGATGTAGGAGGCATTCAAGCACAGGATGAGAGCCTAGGCCAGATGACCAGCTGAGCCTAAGGAATCTTCTCGCATCACGTTTCCCTGACTGTTTGGTGAGGACTTGGTTCAGAAGGAGTGGAGTTTTCTTGATGTTTCTGGTCTCCTCTTGCTCTGCTTGTCATTCAGCTTAGAAGGTGCACCTCCCAAGGGCTGGTCTGAGTGTGTCCCCTCCTCTTCCCCACCCCTCTCCTGGGGTGCAGTCCCAGGAAGGCTTGTCCTGACTGGTGTGGTCAGGGCTGACCCTGGGACCACCCTGTGCTCTCTCTGCGTCCTGACCCCTCCCCTGCAGCCTCGGGACTCTACGTCCAGAGCAGTGAGGCGCTGCATGTTGTAACCAACGTGATCCACGCGAATGGGGACAGAGGCATCACGGTGGCCCAGAGCAGCCAGCTCACCCGTGTGGCCAACAACAGCATCTCCTGCAACCGCCAGAGTGGGGTCAAGGTGGAGGCTCAGTGCAAGGTGGAGCTCCGGGGCAATGGCATCTATGACAACAGAGGCCATGGCATCATCACCAAGGGTGACAGCACCGTCGTCGTTGAAAACGACATCATTGGCAACCGGGGCAGTGGGCTGCAGCTGCTGCCCAGGTCCGACACTAAGGTGCGTGTGTGCGTGTGTGTGATGCGTGGTGCCCTCTCTGCTGAGGAGCAGAACCTGAAGCACTCAGCACTGCAAGGGACCTCAGTCCTCCTGCCGAGACTCAGCCTGGGAGACGCACGTGGACCTCCACATGGGAGGGGACATATGAGCTGGGCCCTGAAGGATGAACGAGGGTTACCAGCAAGAAGCCAGGGTGGTGGTGCCACCTGTGGTTTCTTTGTGGTCTCCAGGTCAAAGTCAGGGCTATTGCAGCTCTCTTCCCCCTAACACAGTCATCTCACACAGCACCTGGTATGCAGTAGGTTAATGAGGAGAGAGATCTTGCCTCGGGGCCTTTGCACACACTATTCCCTGTGTACCTGGGATAGCCTTCTCCGTGTTTTTCTACCTCAGTCCTGCAGCCTGGCTGTCACTCCCTTCAGGATGCCCTCCCTGACCCTCCAGGCTGTTTGAGGTGCCCCTTTACTGGACTTCTAAGGTGCTTACGCCCACCCCTACCTCCCAGAGCGCTTCCCACAGTGCCTTGTTTCTGTTCCTTTGCCTATTTGTCCCCCCACAGGACGCTGAGCTCTGAGCTCCCTCTTTATGTGAAGCACTGTGCTGGGTGCTAGGGTTGCAGTGTTGAGTGAACAGACTCAGTCTCTGCCCTTGTGAAAGTACGATCCCAAAGCCTCTTTTCAGCTCTGCGGCTTTGTGAGCAGTGACTTAGGCAAGGAGGAAAGAATTCCTTGTCTTTGCATCTGAGCACTGCGGGAGCAGAGGAATGGAGGGGGGCAAACTGTTGCCTCGGTTGGGTCGCCAGTGGCCCTGGTCTCTGGCACCACCTTCCCTCTCTGCCAGGACTTTGCACGTTGTTCCTTCTTGGAACAACTCTCCCCTGCTCTGCACCTGATCAACTCCTACAGCTTACTCATCACCTCCTCTAGGAGGCCTTCCCTGGTTCCCCCTGGCTGGTCTTGATATCCCTTCCCTGAGCTCCCATGGCTCAGTGCCGACCTACCCGGCATGCTCTTAGCCCTCAGTTTTATATTCACCTGCCTGGCTCCCCACCAGCCTGGGAGTCCCTGAGGTGTGACAAGCTCTGGCTGCCTCTCCCAGGTAATAAAGAACCGGATCCATTCATTCCGGGCCTATGGCATCGCAGTGCGGGGCCGTGCCAAGGCCCTGGTGCAGGAGAACATCATCTTCCAGGGCAAGACCAACAAGACCATCTTCCAGCAGATCTCCAACAACCGAGAATGCATCATGCAGAACAACAAGGTCCTAGTCTTCAAGAAAAAGTGAGTGCCCGGGGCTGCCTGAACCAGTCTCCTGGAACCACAGTGAGGTCCCCGGGGAAGCCAGGCCAGGCCTGCCCAGTGATTGCAGCTGCCCTTGCCTCGCAGTCCTGCCCCCCTGCAGCTCTGGTCAGATAAAGGCCCATGCTCCGGGGCTGGCCCCGTGGCTTAGCGGTTAAGTGCTCGAGATCCACTGCTGGCGGCCCGGGTTCGGATCCCGGGCGCGCACCGACGTACCGCTTCTCCAGCCATGCTGAGGCCGCGTCCCACATACAGCAACTAGAAGGATGTGCTGCTATGACATACAACTATCTACTGGGGCTTTGGGGGAAAAATAAATAAATAAATAAATTGTTAAAAAAAAAAGGCCCATGCTCGGGCTTTGTGTCAGGCCTGGCTGTGGACCTGTGCCTGACTCCCTGGGAAGGAACAGCTTTCAGAGTCAAGACATACGGTTGCAAATCTCAGTTCTGCCAGTTACTGGCTGTGTGACCTCGGGCAAGTTACTCAACTTGGGCATGTGAGCTAGCCCATATCTGAGGTATTACAAAATGTTCGTTGCTGCCGCCACTGTTGTCACTTGGTTTTAGTACCTCTGCCTCGGTGCATCACAGTTGCCTCACACCCATCTTCCCCGAACCTCTTTGTCCTTCCCCGTTCCCCATTTCGAAGACACCATCCACTCAGTGTTCTGGCAGCAAAACCACTACCTCCTCCTCCTCCCTAACACCAAAATTCAGTCACTCACCAGGTCCTCCAGATTCTGCTTCTAACATGTTCTTGTGTCTGGCACCTCTTCTCCCCACTGCCGCTTGTTCGGGACTAGCACCCTCACCCTGACCTACGGCCCATTACCAGTACAGCTGAAGCGGTTGTTTATGGATGGACTCTGTTCTGATTGGTTGGTACTTCGCTCTAATAGTTGTAAAAATAATAATAACGATTACTATTGTTGGCATGAGTCCTGCACTGTTCCTACCCCTCATCCTGTTGCAGCGGCCTCCTGCCTGGACCCCCCGCCCTTCGACCACTCTGATTTGTGCAGGCTGTCCTATGCATCCTGCCAGATTCATCTTTCTAAGTCAGCTCTGGTCATGTCACATCCATGGTCAAAAACCCTTGATGGATCCCCTTTTTCTATCTATAGTAATGATCTCTACTTTTTTTTTTTTTGTGAGGAAGATCAGCCCTGAGCTAACATCCATGCTAATCCTCCTCTTTTTGCTGAGGAAGACCGGCTCTGAGCTAACATCTATTGCCAATCTTCCTCCTTTTTTTTCCCCAAAGCCCCAGTAGATAGTTGGATGTCATAATTGCACATCCTTCTAGTTGCTGTATGTGGGACACAGCCTCAGCATGGCCGGAGAAGCGGTGCGTCGGTGCGCGCCCAGGATCGGAACCCGGGCCGCCGGTAGCAGAGCGCACGCACTTAACTGCTAAGCCACGGAGCCGGCCCCTACTCTTTTTTTATTATACACACTCTTAGTAAAAATATTTTCTGAGGAAAGCCCCTCATATTTGTATGTTTATATATTCATAACTTCTAAAGTATAAAATAAAAAATAGGCAGAAATTCTAATTTTCCTTCCCACATTCCAGCAAATCATATAGTAGACTGCCTGGGGTCCACTTCCTCCTTCCCCCTTGGAGACCCCAGGGTACAGAATGCGGCCCAGCCCTGCCTGCCTGGCCTTGTCCTCTGTGCACCGTCAGCTCCTGGTTTTCCTTTCCAGCCCTCTTTTCATCACTGCTTTTCAGGAGCTCTCTCTGCTGCCTAACTCGAATGCATGCAACTCTTTGAACAACCCTCCAGGCTTTTCACTCACCCCACAGGAGCCAATTTCTGGCTTTATTCACACCTTTGCAGTCCTCCTGATTGTAATATTATCATAAAAGTACATAGAAGACACTGTTGCTGGCTTAAGCAACTTAGGATTTGATGTAAAAGGTGGTTCCTTGTAACTCAAATGACAAAATGCCCTAGGCAAACCTTCACTCGTTTGATTTTCCCCGACCCTTTGTAAGCTCCACAAGCGCTCAAGGGTCTGGAACCCACCAACTTCTGTCTGCTATAGATGCGCATTTTCCAGAATGTCACATAAAAGAAATCATACAGTACGTAGTCTTCTGAGTCTGGCTTCTTGCACTTGGCCTAATGCTCCTGAGATGTGCCCATGGCATCGCACGTGTCGTTCATTCTCTTTGTTGCTCAGTGGCGTTCCATTGTGTGGATGAACCACACCGTTTATCCATTCATCAGTTCAAGGGTATTTAGGTAGTTTCTCGTTTTCAGTGATTATGAATAAAGCTTTCATAAACATTCATGGTCATACAGCTAGGAAAAAAAAAAGGAGGGGAAAATGAAAGAGAAAAAAGAAAGCCACTGATCTTATCCAGATCCTTAAAGATGGGGGTCACAGAGGCCCGGGGAGGGAACTTGTGCAAGGTTACGTGCAGAACTGCAGGCCGAGCTGGAACTAGAATTAGTCTCACACATATCCCACCTCCTTTTGCTATCACTGACGGGAGATACAGCCTACACCCAGATTTAGACACTTGGATCCAGTGAGCTTGAGCCAAAGGTAAGGTCATGCAGGGCATTCAGCAACTGCTCTAGACTCTCAGAGTTCACTGACTATCATTTTGCACCTCCAGGTGTGATACGTGGCGCCTGGTGAACCCACCAGCACGGCCTCACCTTGAAAACTCTCTCCGAGGCCCTACTGCAGCCCACAGTGGGCAGAAGGTGACAGCCATGGCAAGCAGGATCACAGCCCGTGTGGAAGGTGGTTACCACAGCAACCGCAGCATCTTCTGCACTATCCTGTAAGGATGGAGAGCCACAGAGTGGGGCAACTGAGGGGGTGTCCGAAGACTCTGGGAGCAGCAACCACATACGCTGCTCACAGGCTCGGGCCCTGACAGGTGCTCAGCTGGGCTAAGAGGTGAGGCCTTCGGGATGGAAGTAGTGCCTGTGAAGGCTCCAGGCCCCTCTCCATCTTCTTACTCACCACCCCCTGAAAAAACAGGCTCCCAAGCCTCCTGGGGACTAAGAACAATGTACCTCCAAAACCCTTCGGCTCCACAACCCTCCACAGGAAGGAACTTGGAGTTATTTTTCAAGAAGAAAAAGGCACAGAAGTTGGTGGGTTTCCACTAACTCAAGCTCTTGCAGAGATTATGAAGAGTTGGGGGAAATCAACACTGCACCGTTTGCCAGGGTGTTCCATGTGAGTTACAGGGAACTGCGTTTCACACACACCAAACCCAGCCTCCTCTCAGGGAAGAGCAGATTTACTCCTAAGGGAGGGCCCCAGAATTTTCCCCTTTCCTAGACCTCTCGCGATCCCTCCAGGGACACGGCCACACCCTCCCAGCTGCCTGCAGAGGCTGGAGGAGTTTGCTTTCCTTAGGACACAGTTCTCAGATTTGGACATGGACCTGTGAGGGAGGAAGGGGCTTGAGACTGGGAGCCCCTCTTGAAAGGCTGCCCCAGGGACAAGGGATGCTGAAAACAGGAGGGGCGTGTGGAGGCTTCCTTCCAGTGGCTCAGGTGCCAGGCTGGGCAGTGCAGGGATGCATGTGACTTTGCCCTCAATAAGCTCCCAGACTCAGGAGGACACTAGGTCGGTGCCTGCCGCCCCAGGATTCAGATCCCACGAGCACACCCACACCAGCTGCCCCTAGAGATGGAGGTGCTGGGGCCTCTCGTCTGTATCCATGTTCCTCACGGATAACCACCTGCCTTTACTGACCCTGCCATGGTTTCCCACTCTGTGCCTTGGCTCACGCTCCTGCCTCTTCCTGGCATGCCCTTCTCGCCATCTACCCATGTCCAGGTCCCCCCATTCTGCAGGGTTTAGCTCAGACACTGCCATCTCCACAAAGCACTCCCCTCCTGCCAGATGACAATGCTCTTCCCGAGCCTCCTCTGCCCTTTCTCCGCCCCCTCAGGGTAGTTTCTGCCTTGCTCTGGAGCTATCCAGGTCCATCCCCCGTCCCACTCACCTGCCTGTGAGCACCCTGAGGCCACGTCTCACTGTGTCCCCAGCACCCAGCCCGGGTACAGTTAGCTGGAGTGAGGAGGAAGGCTGGCTCCAAAAGGGCTTTACTGAACTGTACTGTGAATATGTCAAGGTTGCAGAACCGGGTGGGCTCAGACCAACTGCTTGAGGAAGGGGGACTGATGCAGGACAGTTCAGCCTGAACAGTCCCCCTCCCACTCGGCCTTACATGCAGGGCCTTCACCAGCCTGTTGGGGCCGCTGTCGTGCACTTCACCCCTGGCCTCCCAGGCTGGTTCTGCCGGGCCCCGGTGCTGCTCTCCGGGGTCGGGTGGGAAGAGGCTAGAGGGAGCCAGGAGCACTGGCTTTGCCCTGAGGACTTTGGGCACAAGAACGCGGGCCCCTCCCATCCCAGCACTGTCTTTTGCACTTCTCTGGTGGCCCAAATGTGAGTCGCTGTACAAAACGCTGCCTTTATTATTTTGTAAGAAATGACTTTTCTGTGAACCAAGTGCTTATAAAAATCTCAGCAACTAAAATAAAGTTCTCTATTTTAAAAGAGGCACTTTTGGGGAGACTTTCCTTGGTCTGGGTATATGCTCGAGTTCCTGCTCAAGTGGATGCAGGCCTGTCACTGCTCTGCCTTCCCAAGGCACAGATTCCACTGAAGGAGATAGGAGAACCCCAGGGCCATCTGTCCATTCAGCTTGTTCCCATGATGATTCCGGGTTCCAAGGTCTGTGTCCTGTGTCAGTCAGGGGTTGGATTGCCGTCCTGCCTGCCCCGAGGGCTGTGTGAAGGTCATCAGTCAAGTCCCTGGTGTGGACGACGTGACAGTCTGCGAAGGGTCTTTAGATCCATGAACACATTTTTCGTAGCTTTCATCACTGGGCATCTCACAGTTGTTGCCATATCCACATGTCACCTGAGGAGATAGTTAGTACTTAACATCTTTTTTTAAATGAATAGACTTTATTTTTTAGAAGAGTTTTAGATTTACAGAAAAGTGAACAGATACATAGTACAGTTCCCATATTACTCTCCCCAAGTTTCTCTATGAGTAACATCTTACAGTAATATGGTACATTTATCAAAATTAATGAACCAATATTGACACATTATTATTAACTAAAGTCCATAGTTTATTCAGATTTCCTTAGCTGTTACCCAATGTCCTTTTTCCATTCCAGGATTCTATCCAGGAGCACAACTTTAGAGTTTGAACTAAAAAGAAATGTTCACAACACTACTATAAATGAAAAGCTAGTGTTTTCTAATACTAAAATAAACTATTAAACTGAAAATAGTCACAATACCACAAGCAAAAACACCTTTGTTGAAACCAGATGTTTGGGGGGAATTTGTTACTGTTTAGCCTAACCAGCATCACCTCGTGTATTTGATACATCCTTGTGCCACTGAAATCATCTGATGTTCCATCAATGGTATATTCAACACTGACTTGGTGAGGTCATGCCCCATTTTTCACAGAAGGAATTGAGGCTGAGTGGCAATGCTTGTTAAGGCCCAGTAGGAGAAAGTTCATTATCACATGTTAAGAGCTTGTGGGCAGGAGGTGTGGGTAGGGCTGTTACCTAGGGCTTCGAGAACAGAAACAGAATAGCTGGGACCCACACACAATGCCCATCTTCTGCCAAGTCCTTTGGAGGCAGAGGTGGGAGGAACGGACAGCCACCCTCGCCCTCTGTGGGTGGGGGAGAGTCAGGAAGTGAGGCTGCTTTGCAGTGGCTGCATTGGTTGAGTGGGCAGGGCTTGCTCTCCCACCTGGCAGGCCAGACCTGCCCTAGAGAACCCATTCCATCTGATTATTTTTTTCCTTAATTGAGCCAAAAATCTATCTCCCTGGCTAAATCCTACCCATACTGCAGGATCTTACTTCATCATCAGTTCCGTGAACACCTTCCCTGAGCTCCTCAAATCTCAGGTAAGTGCCCCTCCTCCATGCTCTCATACCCACCCCCCATGTTATCGCCATGGTGGCACTGAATCCTCTGTACTGAAAAAGTCTGTTGATCTGTGTGATTCCGGCCTCCTCCCCATGCCCTGTTGATCCTCTATGCCCTGCACAGAGCAAAACTCACTAAGTATTGGATACATGGATAAATAGATGGATGGATGAATGAAGAAACACGCACAACCCCATTTCTGGTATCTCTACCTTCTGGAGCCCCCAAAGGACATCCCTTCCCTCTGTTGGTGACTCTCCAGAGATCTGCAGACAGCATCCTTATCCCCCCAGGGTCCGCCCTGCTCCTGGCCTCGTCTCATACATGCCAGTTTGCAGAACATCTCACCATCCTGGTCATTTCTCTAGACCCACTCCAGTGGTCTGGGCAGGTCTAGGAGAGCCCAAAGGCGGCAGAATTTAGGAGTCCTGTCCTGCATCTCAGGAGGTATGTCCCGGCTCTTCAGTGTAGCAATCCCATCTGAAGACAGGATTCTCTAAGGGTCCTGTGTTTCCTTGGGGTCACTGGCTTTCAGTCTGCAGTAGCTAAGGGCCCTCTCCACAGAGTGACTTGCCACAGGGGAAAGCTTAACCCTGGTACACAGCTCACAGGTCTTGGCTGCCTCCCACCCAAGGATCTTACTACACTGTGGCCTCCCTGGCCTTCCCTGCTGGCCAGTCAGGCCCAAACACTGATACCACTGATGGGAGTGTACAAGCACAATACAATCCCACGCAACTTCATCCTCCAGGCCTCCACGTCCTGTTGAGGCCACTGCCCCAGTGTCCAAAGGAGGTCCTAAGTATAGGGAATGGAGGTCATGGTGTAGCCAGACCAGACAAGAGCCAGAGTTGGGTCTTGCAACAGCACATGAGACTACACTCTCCTCAGCAGCAGCCCTAGGCCCACCTTCTTCCTGCTCCTTCCTTCTGACAGCACAGAGAAAGCCTCTTCTCCAAATGGTTCCTCATGAAGGGCTCACATTGGGCCTGCAGGGCTTGTTCCAACCCTGAGCAGTCTTCTAATATGCGGTTCTTATTAGTTTCTTATTAGAAAGAACCACTCATTAGTTCTTTCTCCCTTCCTGCCCAGAACTTTGCA